AAAAAATTGAAATTGAAAATTGAAAATTGAAATGGAGGTAGAAATGACTGCCGGAAGAGGAGGTCCAAGTAGAGTAGGGATAATGCGTGTGTGTGTGTGTGTATATAGGTAGGCTAGATAGGAAGAATATTAGGTTAAGTTAGCTTGTAAGGTAGTGATAAGGTTATGTAAATATAAATTGTAACCCTGAGGGGATCAATAAAGGTTCTATTCTATTCTATTATATGCTATGTAAAAAACGTATAATTACTTATACTTTATTCTGGAAAATTATATGTACGTGCATGCATTACATTGATAAAAATAATACAAGTCAAAAATGTGGCGCGGACGTAACAACAGAAAAAAAATAAGTTTATTTATTACAATTTTATTTTATTTTTTTTATGAGGAAAAATGCGTTATGCACCGCCGCCCTGTGGGAATTTGGGCGGGGAGTGTGGGACTCGCACCTACTAGAATCCCTCAATGGCCTCCACCGGACTTATTGAGGGAGCTTGTGGCAGCCGGAAGGCTATTACGTCTCCAGGCCCCCCCTAGTCCCAGACATGTCCCCAAAGGACAACGTTCCCAATCACCGTCGCGTTTGGGGTTGCGGCAGGAGGAGGGGGCCATAGCCCTCCTCAAACCGCCCCTCCCTGAGAACTTGTGCAATGACGCGGCAACTTCCTCACCTTGCCACACTAAGTCCCCGCCTCCCGTGACCAAAGTCAGGGGGAGGTTAATACAATGTTTTCGTAGTCCCTACCTGCGACCAAGCAGCCCCTTGACAAGGGCTGGGTCCAGAGGTCACGCCCGAGCCGTGGCTCTTCTACCCCGAGCACAAAAACTGCCCCCAAGCCGAGCCAATTTGCTCGACTTGGAGGATTTAGGTCCCGGTTTTTGTTTCCCTAGTGGAGAAGAGGCCGACTCGCCTTTCCTCTGCCGCTTAGGGGAGAGCTCCTTAATGGAGCCTCTCCCTGAACCCGGCGCTTTTTGCGCCGCACCCTTAGATGTCCGGGGCCAAGCGACCTTTCCGTCTTTGGCCCCGGCCAAACTCCTTCTGGGGAGAGGGAGAGGCACCGCGCCGTCCCCACTCCCTTTTTTCCAGTCTCCGGCTCTTTCCGGAGACCGGAGGGCCCTTTACTTGCCCTTTACTTGGGGCGGAGGTTCCAGTGGCCTTCCCTCTTCCTCCCGCGGCGGGCTCGGGGTCCACAAAGAAGGCAAACAGGAGAGGAACATTCTCTCGCCCTTCGCCCTCCTCCGGTTACAACCGGGCCATGCCTTCCTTCGAAGAGAAGAGATAGACCCCCTCTTCATCCTCCTTTCAACCGGAGGAGTCCCCGCCGAACCCGACACTTTGGGCCCGCCGTTTCCTACTCTTCTTCGGGAAGGGGTCAAACACCGTCATCTCCCCGCCTTCCTTGTCACGGGTGGCAGCAAAGGCGCCGGAACTCCGGCGCCCCGCTGGTTTCAAGGAGGGCGGAGAGGTGGCAGTGCCTGAACCCTGTTTTTTTTCGGGATGAAAGCGCAACTTGCGCCGCCCATCCGGTGGTTCGCTAACTGCCCCCGGCTCGCACATAGAGTGCACTTGGGGGCAGCCCCGCATGTGATGGCGAGGTGGCCGTCCTCCTCGCAGCGGTAGCACGCTCTGCTCCGGTCTACACCGGAGCATTTGCGTGCCACGTAGCCGTACTGGAGGCACCGATAGCACTTCATTCGTCGTCCTACCAGCGTCTCGACGGAAAGGCTAAACCACCCCACTTTGATATGCTTCGCTCCCACTACTCGCCGGACCGCCCTTAAGGCCATACGGGCCCACAAAGTCCCGTACCCGACGGGGGAAGAGCGAACCAGCCCAGTGCAAACATCACTGAACTGTGTCACGTCCCGACATTTTTCCCTCTGTCTCGTCCGCAATGACGTTAAACTACGGCTAAACGACGACAACCGTCGTCCGCAATGACGTTAAACTACGACGACAACCATCGTATTATAATCACATACACTATATTGTACTCACATATATTATAACCACATACAACTATGTTGTAATCATATACTGTATATTATAATCGCATGCACTATATTATATTCACATACTGCTATATAATTGTATCAAGCTAGTAGCGACACTTTAAATTGCGTATTACAAATGTTATTCTTAAAATTACGTCTTTCACATAATCTTATGTTAACCAGGTTCGTGCGACTGTTTTTCACGTATGTACAAGCTCACAGTCCACTACGCGTAGTATTAAACCGTTTTTCACCGCGCCAAGCTTTGATTGGTCAGTTTCCTAGTAACTCGCAATCTGATTGGTCAGTCGTTTTGTCATAAATTTCGACTCGTCAGGTTTTTGTAAGTCGTTTCCCGTAAATCTTTTCCTAAAATTCAGCCGGGAAGTTGGTTAAAAACTCGTAAAATTGCCTGATTGGTCGAAACGGTTTTCTGTCAATTCTAAATCTCTCGACTCCCACGAGACACGTCTACAGTTTCTTTCTTTAAAATTTGCTCAGAAAGTCGGTCAAAATCAGTGAAAACGTCTCATTGGCTAATCGCCTGGTGACAAACAACCTGATTAGCTGAATTGCAAAAACTTGTCGTACGGGTCGACGAGGCATGCAGCAACTACGCCGAGTTTGCCCTCTCTTGAAATTCGTGTTTTAAACCACTGGAAAAAGTAAAAGAAGTCTCATTGGTTAACCGGTTCGGTAAAACGCGTTTTGATTGATCACTAGTTTTGTTGCGTTTTCTAACTCTCTGAAACCTTGCAAGTACCATCCCGTAACTCTCTTCCAGAAGTTTCTTTGAGAACCCGTTTAAAAACGAAGAAAACAATCGGTTTGGTCGAGAAGAAGTTCCTTTAAAACACTACCTTAAGTGCTGACCATAGACTAGAAGTGTAAAGTAGATGTGCGTATAGTGAAATAAGCCGTAAGACACAAAAGTTAAGAGGTAACTCATGCCGGTAACCGGTTATACTAGTAGTTACCGTTCTCCTCAAGTACCAAAGTCGGTACTGTTACCAGTACCACCGTTTTACCGTACTTAAACATTTACCACGGTCGGTAAGTGAACAATTGCTAAAAGTCGTATTTCCGAGCAAGTTATCAACCCGCACGAGTTACCATCGTGTTCCTATTACCGTTAGCCATGCTTCACTTAGCTTAAGTCCGAACCACATGATATTACGTAAGTTGCAAAATTAGTGTAACAAAAACCACAAGAGATAGGGAAAAACGGTTTTCACCGTTGGAGTCAGCATAAAAAACTGCAAAATACCAGTGTGGTTTCAGGTCCCCAGAATTTGTTATTAACAATCGGTTGTTTAAATAGTTAAAATTACTAACTTTTGCAACTATTTTGCAACTACGTAGTAGAAACAAGAATCTGAAAACCATTTTTTTCTAACTATCACCGTTTCCGAGATAATCGAATTGTTTACTTTCACTATGTCGCATACAATTCTCGAACCCAAAGTGAAGGTACCTACGTGGTCCGAATATCTCTTCTGGTTTTTGAAATATCCACAATTGTTAAAAACCGCTGTATCTCATAAGTCATAGAGTGTTAACGTATGTACTATGTCTGTGTGTGTGACTTTCAGTCTTCACGGAAACTAAGTTTTTCGGCTACTTCCCAATTCCGTGTTTAACCGTAGAAAGTATATCTATATATACTAGAGTGTGTCCCAAGGGTGGACCCCTTGCGGTTTTCTCGTACAAGTGTGTATCTATATATATGCGTGTAATATAGTAAGTTGCGCATATAGTCAGTAAGTCTTCCGTGTGCGTTCCAGAAGCGTTCTTAACTGTAGCATAAACCTAACTATAACCAACGAAAGTCATTGTAAAGTGCATACGCACTTGTAATAATTCTTACGACATACCGGCGCCCTTCGAGGCCAAGCCGTGCGCTGTTTTGTTCCAACAAAGGCGAAGCGAAAATCTTTGTACTCCACCGATGCGAGAGTTCTTAGTAATCGCGTTCT